AATTCATAGCTTGGTAAATTTTCCCTTGAAGAGAAAGTCTTAAAACTATAGAAATGAAGAACAGATTAATTTTTGTCAGAAGTAAAGAAGGAGATGTAGGCAGGAGGGGGTTGGGTGTGACTATAAAAGGGCAAAGGTCAAAGGAGGGGCGCTTGGGGTGATGGAGACATTCTAAGTCTCAGCCATGTCTGTGTCAGTATTCTGAGTGCGATGTAAAGCTGAGCAGGGCTTCATTCTTACACTTGCCTATGCATTTAGCTCAGCCTACATTCCTTCAGTCAGTCATTGTGCTTTAGCCTGCAGTAAGGGTGTTGTGTGTGTGCGGGTGCTCTGTGCGTACTCAGTAAAGGTGTTGTGTGTGTGCGGGTGCTCTGTGCATACTCAGTAAAGGTGTTGTGTGTGTGCGGGTGTTCTCTGCGTACTCAGTAAAGGTGTTGTGTGTGCGGGTGTTCTGTGCGTACTCAGTAAAGGTGTGTGTATGCGGGTGTTCTGTGCGTACTCAGTAAAGGTGTTGTGTGTGTGCGGGTGTTCTGTGCGTACTCAGTAAAGGTGTGTGTGTGCGGGTGCTCTGTGCGTACTCAGTAAAGGTGTTGTGTGTGTGCGGGTGTTCTGTGCGTACTCAGTAAAGGTGTTTGTGTGTGTGCGGGTGTTCTGTGCATACTCAGTAAAGGTGTTGTGTGTGTGCGGGTGTTCTGTGTGTACTCAGTAAAGGTGTTGTGTGTATGCGGGTGTTCTGTGCGTTCTCAGTAAAGGTGTGTGTGTGTGCGGGTGTTCTGTGCGTACTCAGTAAAGGTGTTGTGTGTGTGCGGGTGCTCTGTGCGTACTCAGTAAAGGTGTTGTGTGTGTGCGGGTGTTTTGTGCATACTTCTCATTGTCACACACAATACTGAAAAAGAAAAACAAGCATCAGGATTTAGTAAGATTAGTATTTTTTGAAAAACAAAAATGAACATTTTTTAAAACAAAAAGTTGCTTTACTGTATTGTGAATGTACTTTTATATGAGCCAGCGATGATGAAAATCTTCTGTTTCAGTGAAGTGGGGTTGAGGAGGGTGGTTTTTTTTTAAGTTTTGCATTCAATATATACATTTGGAAGGCAGGGGGGAAACTATTAACTTTTCCTTCCCATTTACCAGAGTGGTGATCTCTAGGGATCTGATCATTGAAGATGCAAGTCACATACCAAAGTGTAATCATGACAAGTATTTAAAGACTTGGGATTAACTGGTAACAACATTAACTATAAAAATAAAGGCATATGCTGTTTTTTCACTTAGGTCTAAATTTCTCTTCATTCAGACATAGACGACTCCTGAGGAACTGTGTCTGTCCCAGAAGACTGGTGTGTAATCACAGAGCACTGTGCAAACTTGAATAGTAGAGGCATAAATAGAGGGTGCAGCTAACTGGAGAGGAGACACAAAAAAGCACCTGAAACTCTAACGCTGTTTGGTAGCATTTGCAGTGGTACGGATATAGATATGTATGTGTGTTTCATTGTCCCAAGGAGTCAAATCAGTTTATAGGTAGAGATGCACTAAGTTAGAAAGCTGTTGGTAATAAAGGTAGACCATGAAAAGCAAAATTAATGATACAGATGTGCTCCTTTATTATGTTTGTAATCCTAGTCTGGATGTTTCCCTAATTCTTGGTGTGAAGGAGAGGTGACTACACCATGGAGGTGAAGGAAGAAGGCTTTGAAAGTTATGAGGTACAAATCAAGCATTTGTGCCTGGGGTTAGGGGGAGGGCAGAGGCTTCTGCAGGAGAGGGCCTTGGGGTCAGGAGGGGGCCTCTGCTTTTGCAGGTGTTCTTCCATGGTCCTCGGGGAAGTTTTCCAAGAAGTATTAGGTCACTACTGAGACTTCTATCCATGTTTGGGACACAACCAGGTAGACCTGGAGTTTAGACATTGAACTTTCTCCACGATTTTATCATTGGCATTTAGCGTGTGTTTGACAATTTCATCATTGTCATCCATAATATTACTAGAAGCAGATACAGTCATGAGTAACATTTTTATACCCAGATCTTTTAGTAGATTCTGTAGCCTTAAATCTAAGGCAAAATGTGAAGTTCGTTCCTTTGATTTTTTTTCCTGAGCAGTGTTCTGTTTAGTTTGGTTTTGAACTAACCTGGTGATTTTATTACCTATTTTAGGTTACTGAGCAAGTGTTCTTAAGTGCATTGTTTGGGACATTTGTTCTGAGTTATTTATTAATTCATGAACAGAGAGGTTCAGCCATGTTACCTATACGGTAAGTTGTGATTGTGAAAGCGTATAGATTACATCAGCTGAAGCAGACATCTAGGCAGCTACAGTGTGACTTGTTTCTGGATAGAAGTTTTCTATTGCCAAATCTCCAATTGGAGATTTTTAAACAGTAGTAGTCTGTTGATGATACAAAATATCGTTCTCATACTTTTGCTTTTCTGACCTTCATCCTCCTTGGGATGGAGTTATGTTGGCTTTTGGTTGGGGGGGGTGTTTATTGTTTTTTGAGATGGGCCCTTGCTCTGTCACCTAGGCTGTAGTGCAGTGACAGCATCACCACCTCAAACTCCTAGACTCAAGCAGTCCCCCTACCTTAGACTGCAGAGCAGCTGAGACTACAGGTGCAGGCCAACAGACCCGGCTGATTTTTTTTTTTTTTTTTTTTAAATAGAGACTGCATCTCGCTTTCTCTCTCAGGCTGGTCTTGAACTCCTGGCTTCAAGCAGTCCTCCAGCCTGACAGCCCAAGGTGCTAGGATGATAGGCATAAGCCACTCTACCCAGTCCATTTTTCTCATTTTATTTCTCCAGTATTAAGTGGGCAAGAGAAGATATTTTCAGATCTTCCTGATTCATTTCAAAATGCAGCTGTCTTCCACCCGCCACTGCTAGTTCATAGGGCAGAAGGAACACCAGCCAGCTAGCAGCTGTGAAAAACAAAACTCAGCAATGAAAAATGGCTGAAGAAAAAAATAGCAGTTTTGAAGATGATAGGAAAACATTTGTCATAGTAAATAAGTAGTATGGGAAAATAATACTCTAAAAGGAAAAGCCTGCCTAATACTTCCAAAACTAGCTTTGGGTGAAATAATAATCTAGACTTTGGATTTGTGCTTTTTGGCTTATTTCCACATGCGGATCATCCTCAGTGATTTGGTCTGAAGAGGTTTTATGTGTGGCTGGGGAGAGGAATCACAGGATATTTGCCCCGTGTTGAGAGTGCCCTATGAGTTTGGACACTTGCAAAAGGGAGAGAAGTAGAAGGGGTGGTTGGCATACAGAATGATGTCAGGTCGATTATCTGGGTTTTACTTTCAGCCTCCTTGGTATTAGATGTCAAGAAGCCAGAGAAAAGACTGGAGATTTCTTTCCCCCCAATCTATTTTCTTATCCTGTTGTCCTTTTCTACGTCGAAATGCAAATCTGCTCAGCAAAGACATGACTGATAATCAAGAATTAGCCAAATCATCTAACTGCTGCCCTGATATTTGGAAAAATGAGATTCATTGTGAAGGATATAGGGAACCAACAAGGAGCTATTTATTTTGAAGAGCGGAGCTGGGGCTTTTGTCGCAGCTATAGGGTAGATACCACAGTGCGGTGGTAAACAGCGGAGGGCTTGCAGAATAGGGGCGCTCAAAGCCCCACATTCCATTAATTTGCCAGTTTGGCTGAGGATTAGTATAGTTGTTTGATAGTGGGGTTAGGACTTGTTTGAAAGGCTCAGACTTCTGTGTTCCCCAGGTGTAGCCTGAGCTAGGTGTCTGTTGTCTTCAGCACCATTTCTCTGTGTGTGGGAGACGGGGAGGTGACCACTTCGCTTGCTACTTGCCCATCCCAGTTTCCTGCCCTCGAGAGGATTTCTCTTAGCATTCAAGCCTGATGGTAGCACTCACTTGAGGTCTGCTATTCTTCAGCCACATGGGTTACATAACATGGGTTCCTTGATAAAAGATCCAGAGTTCAGGGGAGGGGGGAGGGTGGGTGAAGAGATTGATATTGTGGGGATCACACCTATAATTTGTCCTATTAGGGTACATGTGAATCTGTCTAAAGGTCGAATATAAATGTCTTAACACAACAATTATGAGAAAGACATGATGGCTATGTTAGCCAGTTGGATGAGAGTTTTCCAAACTGCATATGGAAGCAACACACTGTATCCTATGATAGAATTAATGTACAGAATTATGATATAATAATAATAATAATAAAAAATAAAGATCCAGAGTTCGAAAACACATTCTGCGGTTTAAATGAAAAGATTGAGATGGACGAAGCATAGTTTGGTACATTTTTTCCTCTAGTTCTTTAAATTGTGATTTCCATGCTCTGGTATCTTGGCAGACATTACAGATGGAAGATCAGGGTTTTAGTCTGCCGTGCCACCACCTCACTTCTAAAACCGCTCTCCAAGAGCTGCTGCTGTTCTTAGTTCTTTAACCTTCCACACGGAAGAAGCCGTTTCTTATCTGAGTTGTGGCTTGGCTTCTGGCTTGTATAGTCACATGTCGCCCTCACTAGACTCCCTGACTGTCTGGGGTCTCAGTCAGAAGAAGGAAAAAGAAGAGTGATTTTATAAGGGGTATTTGGGCAGCTTATTGTACCCTAAAAGTAAACACGTATCAGTAACAGTGATACCACCGTGTGCGTTTTCCCTGTGTTTCCCTAGAGTTTTTCCTTATCAGTTATATCCAGCTTTGTAGCAGATGCAACACTATTTCTTTAGTGGCAATTATCTATTTCTGAGCATCCAAAAAATTTACCCACAGTATGGGAGTGTCCTTGGCAGATATTTAAGTGAGATGGTCAAATTAGGAAACAGTTGTGGATAAATGCTTTTGAAACATAGAACCTACAGCCTTTAAAAGGAAAAAGACGAGCTAATTTTAAGATGAATCACTTAAGAGAAAACTGATAGGAGCATGTCACAGGGACGTAGGGGCCAACTCAAAACGACTGCTCCTGGCCAAATTTGAGACCATTTGATCAACAAAGTAATTAAAGTGCTCACTTTGGCAGCCCATATACTAAAATTGGAACAATACGGAGAAGATCAGCATGGCCCCTATGCAAGGAAAACATGCAAATTCATGGAGTGTTCCATATTTTTCTTGTGAATGAATTAATAAACTGTGGTGTATATATATATATCCCATAGAATACTATTCAGCCATAAAAAGACAGAGACTTGACATCTTTTGTGTTTACCTGAATGGAGTTTAAGAACATTCTTCTTAGTAAAGCATCACAAAAATGGAAAAACAAGTATCCAGTGTATACAATACTATTATCAAACCAACAGAAAAGGAACTACATACCCACACAATAGGAAAACACAATTGAAGTTAGGGGTAGGGAGAAGAAAGGAAGGAGAGAGATTGGGGTGCTCTCAGCTACTGGTATGCCAGTGTAGGGGTATATGGCGTATCTCCTGGGTGAAGGCTCAACTACAACTTGAACTTTACCTAACAAATGCAAACAGTGTCACCTAATGATCTGTACCCTCATATTAATCTGCAACAAAAAAGTAAGGACAGAAATAAATTAAAAACCATTGGAGGAAAAATAAGGATCCAATGATTCATGCTGTTCATATGTGAGGGAGAAAGGAGAGGGTCTTTCTCACCATAGATGCTAATTGCCAACTGGTAAATGTAGGATCTTGAGGAAATTCAGGACACACAAGGCCATTGAAGGAGGTATTTCTCTTTGGTAGTTAAAATATGGTGAGCGACAATGTAGGGTTAGAAGGCTTGGATGAAATTGTGGCACTTGGTAACTTTGACCTTGGCTTAATCGTGTGTCCTTTTTGAGCTTGTGTTTGCTACCCCATGAAATAGGGGAGTGATTATATTTGCTTTCCAGGGTCATGGCAAGGATTAAATAGTACGTATGAAAAGGCTTTATACGCTAATGCATTCTTGAAACACAACATGACTAAAACAATCATATGAAGAACATAACTTCTGTGTACATCTTTTAGAATAAAAAGGCATAATATAAGCAAGCTTTCATTAAATATGAATTAATGATAATTGTTATAATAAAAATTATAATTAAATTTTAAAAATATAATTAAAAATTTCATTAAATAATGATAATTATTGTAACAAAAATAGTAACAATAGAAGTTAAAATAGCTACTTTTCATGCTTACTGTACTGTTTATCACTTCACATGTATCTCAGGTAATCCTGACCACAGCTATTCAGTACCAGCAGGGCTACTGAGAGGCAGAGTTTATGTTGTTGCACAACTTGTAACTGGGGACCTAGGATTCATATTAAAGTCTAACTGCCAAACTCATGCTACTCACTAACCACTGTAGTCTACTGCTTCGCAAGAGAAGTGGTTCCCCCTTTTAATCAATTTTCTCTCTATAAGAAAGGGGAGGCACGCACAGAGTTTTTAGTAGCATAAATACCATGTGTGCACCAGCTGAAGGAGTTTGGGGTTTAGAGTTTACATCCGTGCTTCCTGTGTTTTTGGAGGCTTTGTGTTTCGTTTCATCACTAGGTAATAAGCGTCTCAGTTTCGTGGAATATATTTAATGAAATCAAATTTCAACTCAGAATGAGCTGGATGTAATTAATTCAGCTGCATTTACGGAGCTGCCTGGTATGACACCTGGGTTAGTCTTTTACATACTATACATACATGTTATAGACAGTTAGAAACATGAGGCTGGCTGCTTTTTGTGCGAGATGACTATCCCTCACTGAGTACTTTCCTTAGGTCAGTATGGTCTTTGTTAAGACCATGTGACTGTGAGAGACATTGGCACAGTGGTTAAGAGCTTAGATTTATAGCACCTGGACTTGAATTTGTCTCCACTGGTTAGTTATTGGTTATAGATTTGTAAACAAGTTGCTTAATCTCTAGATTTCAGTTTCCACTTTTACAAAGTGGTGTGGTAATGGGGACCTAGGATCAGAGCTGTTATGAGAATTAAATGAGTTAACATTTGGTACAACTTGGTATGCAGCATTTCACATACACCCAAATAAGCACTGTGTAAATATAAGAAAAAACTGAGAGAATACTATTATTCCCATTTTACTAATAAGAGTGAGGTTTAAATAGTTAATTGTGTCAGTTAATTGGCTAATAAATACAGTTGAAACTCCATAGCTGACCACCTCCCTCCATTGACCTAATTTTCATAGACTAGACATGCACCGCGTGTCCATATCAGTACCGTAGGCCTAATTCCTTATGTTGACCACCTCTGTGTGTTGACCAGCGTGTTACAGTCTCTTGGGTGGTCAACTTACAGAGGTTCTATAATTGAGCAGAATTTCCAGTTTTGGAATTCAGAAACTAAAACCTGCCGCTGTTATACTTCATGTGTGGCTTACAAAGGATTTTTTCCTCTAACTTTTGAAGTGTCTAATAATCTAGTACCTTCCTACTGTAGAAATTAAGCAGATAAATATTGGCAAAGGGAAGGAAACTGGGGTTAGACGTAGGAAGAGAAAAGACGGGGGAGATAGGTCCCAGGCCGTGTGCCACCCATCTTGACCCTCACACTTTTGTCGGGGCTCCTTTTCTTATCCCAAATGGAAACTGGGGCAAGAACTTGTGCCTAAGTTCGCACAGCTAGGACACTGGATTTTCTCAATCCAAAGCCAATGCTTTTTCCGTGACGCTCTGCTGCTTGACCAAAAACAGCTTACCCTTCTCCATGGCATTCTAAGTTGAATCTATACACTACCTAAGAATCGGGGCCAACAATGTATAACGTTCTTTAGAAGTGATAGGGATACTCTGTAGAAATTTGACTTAGGATTGAGAAAATTGAAGTTCAGGTTTCACCTTTAGTTAGCAACCTCCATAGGGCAGGCAACCCAGCTCTGTTGCCAGTGCATGTAGTGCTCTCATCTGTGTTGAGAACCAGGCTGTGTTCACCCAAGCTTCCTGCAGGTTCTTGTTTGTTGTATGTTGGGTGAGGCGCAAGAATCTGCCATTTTAAACAGTGTCTTGCTGATTCAGGTGCTGGGCGTCTGAGGATTATAAAAGACTGGTCTGTATTAATCCACTTACGATAAATAAGTCAGGAATAGTAATAGAATTCACAAACATACATTAATTGAAAAAATATTTATTGGCGGAACCCGTAGCTCAGTGGGTAGGGTGCAGGCCACATACACCAAGGCTGGCAGGTTCGAACCTGGCCCAGGCCAGCTAAAACAACAATGACAACTGCAACAACAATAAAAATAGCCGGGCATTGTGACGGGCACCTGTAGTCCCAGCTACTTGGGAGGCTGAGGCCAGAGACTTGCTTAAGCCGTAGAGTTTGAGGTTGCTGTGAGCTGTGATGCTATAGCACTCTACCCAGGGCGACATAGTGACACTCTGTCTCAAAAAACACAATAAAAAAATATTTATTGAGGATCTGTCAGACATTGTATGATACAAAAGAAAGAAAACCAGTTCTACCCTCAAGGGTATTAATGGTCTAGGGGAGTGAAGTCAAATTAGCAAAACAGTGTTACAGATACTCAGTCCAAGTGTTAAGGCCACGGTAGGGCACAGAGAAGAATTCATTTCTCTTGAGAGTAGAAAGACCAGGAAAGGCACCATGGAGATGTCTTTAGAACTGAGATTTGGAAATCATAGCCAAATGAGCAAAGGTACAGAAGTGAAAAACTAGCAGATGGAAACTGCAAAAAGCTTAGGAGAGTTTGGGGTAGGGAAGTATTTTTCAACCTTTTTTATCTCACAGCACACTTGAATGGATTGTTAAACTTTCAGGGCAGAATTAATTATGTTGATTTAAAAAAAGAGTAGAGAACATACTTACCGTGCTTTGGACTTCTTTTTGTTTTTGAGACAGTCTCACTTTGTTACCCTCAGTAGAGTGCTGTGGCATCATAGCTCATTGTAACCTCAATGATTATGATGATGATCCTCTTACCTCATCCTCCAAGGTAGCTGGGACTTTACAGGC